AGGGATTTCCCAGCCCCCAAGGTTGTGGGGTCTGTTCAAATCTCACTCAACATCCAGCAGTTCTACCTCCTACACCATCTACTGTGTGATAGCTCATAGAAGAGGCTGGGGAGGAGCAGTGCAGGGAGCTCGTGTCTGTATAATGACCTGCAAAGAGGCCTGGCCTTAACCAGCTACAGGCACTAAGTACTGGCTAGGACAACATCCTGTGTAGGGGCTTGGCTGTTCCCTATGGCCAATGCATCACCCTTCCCTATGACGCATGACATTGACTGTAACAAAGCCCACAGCCTTATTCATGCAAATAAAGCCCTCAGTGCTCATTTGTGTTCATTATTGTTGTGCACAAATGCTCACCATGTCCTTGGTCCCGGTCCTGACGTGCCACCCATCCTTTCTGACCTTCCTCCCACTCTTCCATTCCCTCAGTACCTCACAGATTTTGGTACCTTTACTAATGCCAGGCTTCCTATGTGCTGAGGCATGGCACTGGGACAATTAAACTATCAAACTTGTACCTGAAGAGGGACATGTGGTGGTCTGAGTAGTACATTTTTTTCCTACAGTTGCAGAAATGAACGCCCTCTACTTTACTTCTATGGTAGAAGGCCGCAGTTTGTAACGTCTCATTTTGGCATGTCATCCCCGCTCATTTTTGAGACCAACTGTCCAGAGGTAAATGTTTATTGAGGCAGCTACAGATCACATTGTGGTCAGTCACCATCTCTAAAGAAACAAAAAAGAGCTTTTAACATTCAACGGGAAGCAATTTGCTTGTCAACAGTACCACTGTGAGGGATAGATTTATACCCTTTTGGCAACCTCTCTCACAATGAGGGCTCTGTGCCTTGCCTTGAGGCTGGGCAAACTGTCAAGGGCATAAATATCTTGAGGGTCTCTGAACAGGAAAGAGACTTGCCATTTCAGGCCAGGAGGGTGTGGATGGTCACCCAAGAAGGCACAATAGCTTTGCAGAAGCTGGCTGACTACACAGCATAACTGCATGAACAGAGAAGACTGACCAGTAACTGTGAGGTGGTTGAGCAAGACTTGCCCTATCAACCAGTCGAAACTACTCAATGGAACTCCAGGTGCAGGAAGAACAAGCATCACCTCCCTCGAGTGGGGAAAGATCAAAGAAGAGCTGCTTAAATGGTTACCATCTGAATGGTGCCTGAGAACTGGCTCTCTCACCCCCATCCTCACCATGGCTGCTCAGCCATAAGGCAAAAACAATTGTTTGGACCTTGTCATTGCAGGCTTCCTCTCTGCAAGAACTGTGAGCAGTCAAAATAAAACCACCTTAGCTCCTTCACTCCTTGCCCTCCTCAGGGCAGCTTCTACAGAAAGGGACTATCAAGAAGACCGGACTTTTGCTGACTTTTTGCATTCACCCATGTAGTCCAGAGAAAGAAGCCATTTAATTTGAAAGCTATGTAGCAATCTTGAGTTAAACATTTTCCTATCCTGTAATCCATGAACATGTACTTTTGTGGATCTTGACAATGTTGTAGAAAATACCATTTGTGAAGTTATATAATGTAACAGGAGGATTAATGAATGCCCGCTTACTTCCAAAAACAAATCTCACAGAGGAGATGGGATGCTGTCCACAGAAGATGACATCACCTGGCGTCGCCTGGTGTCGGGAGGACTCCACCTGTAAGGACTGAATTAGAATTCACTTACCGGAAATGAAGAGGGCATCATAAAGGGAAACATGCTCAGTAAACAACCCCTGGAAGGGGACTGCAGAGCAGCAACTGAGAAAGTTGATTGAAGTAGCTTGTGCAGAGGCATGGGGATCTTCAGAGCAGTGCCCAAGAGTGGAGCAGAGTCACACTACCCTCAGGTACTCACCATAGTCAGACTTTAAGGGAGTAAAACCCTTGTTCATTTGCCAGTGGAGCATTTGAGGACTGAGAATTCTCTTGATTTTTGTTGTATCATTTTCTTTATTAATCGTGAAGAGAGAGACGATGTATCAGCTGTGAAAATACTGGGATGCCACTTAACAGACATAGAGACTGTTAATGGACTTGACTGACTCATGGTTTAAGGCCATTTGCACATGCTGTTTATGTTTGGTTTTTGGTTGCAAAATAAGGGTGAGGTGTGGCAGGGCACTGTTTGTGCCTGCCACTTTAAGACCTGGAGCCAAGCAGCCAGCAAGTGCTTAATTGCAGCAGACATTTTAGAGCTCTGGCCGCCCATACAAATAGGGCATTTTGCTGCTAGCTGGGGGTGCAGCAACATCACCTGGCTGCGAGGCTTCATGGAACACTCTGGAGGTAAGAGCAGGAGCTGTAGGGGATGGTCAGGAGGCTCCTGATCCTGGGCATGACCTAAAACTTCACCCTGCTGGGAGTGGGTGGCCTGGTGGGGCTCTCAATGTCATGGGAGCCCCCAGGAAGTGCCAGGCCAATTAGAACCCAGTGTAAGGTGGGTCAGGACGCCTTAATCCCTAGCCCCCACAACCGGGTGGGTCACCTGCTAAAACAGCCAGAAGGCAGACCCCAGAGATAGAGTGGGGTAGAGACTCAGACTGATTGAGAGAGTACCCTCAACAGGTCAATGCTGGGGCCAGGACAAGGACAGTCAAAAGGGTCAGGGGCCCACTGCAAGGGACACCCAGAGCTAGGAGGTGTGGGGGCCGAGGGGGGATCGAGGATCAGGAGTCCTCGGGAACGCTAGCTGGGGTTGCGGCTGCGATCCCGTGGCGGGCAGATGGGTACTCTCTATCACCGGAGCGGAATTAGGAACAGACGAGACACGAATCAATTGGAAAAACAGAGATGGCTTTACTTACACTGTAGAGTCATATACAGCGCAGGCAATCGTAGTTGCAACAATCCCACTCTCTAATCGCTAATTGGGGAGCTCTTGTAGACCGGGTAGCTTGGGTCTAACTCGGGCATGCAACACGGAGGATACGTCGCAAGGCTTCGCCGACGGGGAGTCGTTGGCAGGTGATCAAGCTGCTGGAGTTCCACTCCAGGGGGAATCGCAGAGTTCTCCAACTAGGGCGGAAACGCCCCTAACCTTTTATACGGCTAGCAAGCCAATTGCCAGCCACCACGTGGGAATAATTTAACATCGGCCAATCGTATTATGCAAATCTGCATTTCCTCGGCGGGAACTCTATCCACGCCGGAACTCTTCACCATGCCGAGACTTCCCCTGCCTTACCGTGCCTTGTGCTAGAAAGTTCCACTGTGTCGAGGCACTGATCCAAATCAGCTCTGACAGGAGGGCCTGGGGTTTCTGATTGGCCTTGGAGGTGAGGGTAGGGCCTGTATGGCCAAAGGTCCTGGGGGGACCACACCCAAGAGGGGAAAATAGTTTCAGGGAGCTAATTAGCTTGAATGAAGGTGGGGTAGGCTGCCTGAAAGGAGGGATCTTGGAGGGGTCCTAATTAGAGAAGTCTGGGTCTCAGTGTGGGGCCGGTGAGAGTAACAGCTGGATGCCATCTGCAAGGCATGGGCTGCAGTTTAGGGAAGGTACAGAGCCACAGATAGCACCCCCTGGCATCAGAGCAAGGAAATGGGCAGCCTCCTGCTTAATTAACAACAATTAATCAATTAACATCAAGGGATGGTGGGAGAAAAGGCAGGTGGTTGGCCCAGAAACAGATGGGCGGGGCCATTGGTAGACAGGCCCTGAGAAGGCCCCCGGTTACAGGAGGAAAACAATCATCCAGCTAATATAGACTGAGTTTAATTTCTGAAGATCATTCTTTGTCTGCTTATTAATTCATTTCTCCCATCAAAGGTGTGGCAGATGAGCAAACAGCAAAGTATTTTTATTTTTTTAATTTTTTTAGCTGGTCCCCTGCAACTCATAACAATGGCTGGGAAAGTCATGTGACTCCATTCTGATTCTAACTGACTAACAACTATCTATCTCCCAGTTGCCAACTTCCTCTAAATTAGGGAGTTACTTAAATTATAACTTTTATCACTACAGTCACCTAAGTGTGATCCTATTGAGTTTGAGTCCCTGAAAATCCATTATTATATCTATTTTTGTGATATGCAGTCATTTTAGCCTTAGAACTAAATTACAAATCAAAGCAAGGAGGAAGATGCCTCACCTACTTTTTGCATTAATGGTTTTTCAGGGACTCAGGCAGGGTGGAATAGGCTCCCAATTAGGCACCCAATAGCTGGAATAAGATCTGGCCCTGGGAAGAGAGTTGAAATAGAGAATATGGTAATCTGATCTCCCTGTGAAGAAAGAATATGAATGGGTTTATGTCCATTCATACTTTTTGTTATTCCAACTTGGTCCATCAACTACAGAAATTACAAAGGTAGGTTGTCTAAAGGGAAGTGACAGAACAAAATTGGGTATTGTAAATAAGAGATGTGGGGCTGAAAAATAAGTAATTTATGAATCCAGTAGCTGGCCCAGTTTCAGGGGTAGTTACTGTATGCCTAGAATATTTACTGTATGCTTATGTTGGAACAGTTCTCTAGCAGGACTGTTAGGAAGCAAGCAAGTAGGCAAGACATTAGCTCTGCATATGCAAATTTCATGTGAAGACTGAGATGGCAGAGGTCATTAGAAAATGCCCAAATAAATAGGAAGATTCTGTTTCCAGGATCCATTCAAAGTTCAGGGACTTGTTTTGCCAGGCTGGGAGCCAGAAGATGAACAGGAGACAAAAAGGTTAAAAACATATTTTCTGAAAAGAGGAGGGAGGCATTTATCAGGGAACTGCTTGCAAAGAGACACAGAGACTTACTCCACTGGAGAGTCTGAAGAAACAAGATCTGTCTAGCTCAGTATTAGGCAGAGTAGTATGGTAAGATATTGCAACAGGGAACCCTAGCCCTGTTACCAGAAGGCAGGTTGGTCCCTTTAAGACCAGAACTTTCTGGGCACAGATTGCTGGCAGGGTAGGGGTTAAAAGCTGAGCCAGGCCAGCTAGTCAGGTGACGAAGGGGGCAGGCCAGAACTATAAAAACCCTGGGCTTGGTGGCAGTGGCCAAAGGGGACAGAGGTTGCATGTGAGAGCTTCACAGAGAGGCTAGGCTGCTGGTCTGACTGCTGTGAGAAGGGAACTGCTGCTGATCTTCAGAGAAGTGACAGCAGTGCCACAGGGAGAAGTGTCACAGGAAGCAGGGAAGCAGAAGCACCAAGCCATGAAGAAAATGTAAGCTTGCATGCTGCCTTTCTTTCTTTTTTGGTTGTCAGAACCCACTGACTGACTGTATATATGTATTTTTGTTGATTGATGCACTGTTGGTTTGTGGCTGAGGCTGTAGGGGAGGAGGCGACCTCATTAGTGCCTTGGGTGCAGTCGTAAAAGGCCAAGGGGGCCTGGTGCACCAGGGTGTGCAGTTTCATACTTCTGGGCTGGGCAGGGGTCAGGGCCACTGCCCAGCCTTGAACTTGTAGCCCTTTGGCTGTAGGACCAGTGGACATGCCACTAGGCCAGAGAGCCTGGGTTCTATATTGTAGGCAAAAGGAGGGCCACAAGCCCCAACATTAAGGAGCTAGAGCCTCTGAGTCAAACCCTATCTGGTGGGTTCAGGCTAGTAGGCCTAGCTAGAGAAAGACAGGGGGCAAGGCCTGTGGTGGCTGAGAACCTCAACGTAGAAATACAATAGGTAGCCTCCTGCTTGTAAGAACATCTGTATAATATTTCCATCAAGACGTGGCAGAAAAGTAAAAGTGGGATACGAAAAGCATTAAGGGACTTCAAGGGCGCCCCCCAGGCCACAGGTAGCAAAACAAAAACAAAAAAAATGCTGCTGGGGAGGGCAACCTGTTACAGATATACATGTATATAGATCTCTTACTGTTTTATGAATTCACTTTACTCCTATTAACATTAAACAGCATTTCATTGTGAGAAGCTGGCTGTTCACACATATTAGCCACTGATCACAGGTCCCAAAGTGCCAAATACAGCAGGTTGATACACAAGGGGCTGCAGGCCATGGTCCAATCCAGGAGTAGTAAATACAGATTCACAGATGAAAAACCAGAAGTGACTACAGTGATGATTTAGTTTAATCTCCTATCTAACAGGAGGCCTTAAATTAGGCCTGACATGTGACGGGTGCATTGAGACTGGAAAGGAGGGAGGAAGGAGCACAAAGAAGTGCAGCTGGCTTTGTAACAATGATAGTGTATATCCAGAGATCTTAGAACTCAGTCCCATCTTGAATAAGGCCAAAAAGCCCAGAGCCCTTCCATTATGGCCAAATTAGACTGCACGTTCATGGCTGAATTCAAAGATGGTAGTTCTCTATTTTGATACACTGAAACGTTCAAAGAGACTGAGTCTTTCACCTTCTGACATGAATTATCCTCCAGTGTGACCTCAATAATATGTGCCATATCCACCTTGTTTCCTAGGTAGAGATGATGTATTCACAGACTGCATGTTGACAAAACACACTAAACATCTTTTGAATGCCTGCTCCTTTAGTCTAAGTATTAGTTCCTTTAACAACTAACATATTAAAAACCAGTGGAACAAGATGCCAGGCTCTCTTGGCTGTGGTTTCCACACACATACTCCATAAACTGCCTGACTCTACTAGCAACACCATTACACTGAATGGCATGTCCCCCAGACGCCGAGAACCCGGTTCTAGAAAGAGGCAAGATGGAACAATACAGAGTAACAAGAACTATGCAGGTGCCAGCACTGAGCATAAACTCGGCAGAACATTAAGATGGATTTTGCTCCCTTGCTCCCAGCAGAGGATTCCCTGCTATTTCTCAATCTATACACATCTATTTAATGCCAGTTTAACAGCACTGGGTAGAATTAAGAGTGACATCTGGTGCTGCATGAGATGTTTGTTCTCTCTCATTCACTGCCTTCCTATCTGAGCTAAAAATAATATTCAAAGTACATACTATAATAATAAATGGTAGCAAGATGCCTGTCTGGAAAGAAGTGTGCTACATTTCTGGCAGGCTTTACTGGGTAAAAGCCTAGCCAACTTGAACAGCTTTTATAAAAAATAAAAATTAACTCCCTAGAAAAGAAAAAATGAGCTTGCTTTTTCTTTCTAGTTTGGCCCCCAAATATTAAATTTATCAGTAGGGGGGGGGAAGAAAACAGAGAAACAACATTATTGCACCAGGTTTTTTTTCTTTGTACTTTAATAGCTTTTTTGAACCAACAGTCCTGGGGAATTATGTCAGAACACCACAGACAGCAGACCGTGGCAGACAAAGCTTCTACAATTGTCTACCATTGCATTTCCTATTTCACTTAGAGATCATCTGTAAGATTAATACTGTCTCCAAAGCCAGTGTCAGACTTTGTCCTGTCTATTCAGACTTCTAATACAGGCTTCAGCTGCAGTGAATTTTATGAACCTGTCAGGGATCAACTGGGAACTGGAGTGAGAACTTAGTTATCAGACGGCTATCACCTGATAACAGCTCTTGGTCATTACTGATCTGGGCTTCTTTTGAACCAGCTAAACTAATGTAGGCAACTCAATATGCAACATGTTCTGTATCCTGTGGCATGCTAGACCTAGATCCTTTGTCAATTCTGTAAGTGTGATAGGTATGCTATTAGTTCTATTCCCAGTTCAGGTTATTAATTCATTTGGAAGTTTCCATTGAATTGAGGATGAAATAATATAAATAAAGTGATCCCTGTGCCATTTATTTTTATACTATATTAAAATGATCAATTTCACATTGCTTTCTATTTTGAAAACTCAGATGTGGAGACAGTCTCAGCCATACATCTCAGCATTAAAGGCCCCTTGAAGAGATTTCACTTCTCAGATTGTTTCAAGCTCCCTGCAGTCACAGACAGATTGGTTTACATACTGTTACTCTTCTGACTTCATCACCACTACCACAAAGAGTAAAAACTCTATGAGAATCCAAAGCTCAATTCATTGGCCAGGAATGAAGTCTGAGATTAATTCTGTGACTGCCAAAATGCCAGCTCCTCGCAGATCTACATATGTTGCATTACCAATCTCTTCAATCACAACCTCTTTGATATTTAAAAAAAAGTCACTTTGTGAAAACGTTGCTTCAGTTTAGAACATGGAGAATGAGACTGTAAAATAACTGAAATGGAAAGGACAGAGAAGGTTATGCAGAGCCAAAAATTACCAGCAACTATCCACAGTAGCAAAACTGGTGGGGAGAAAAGGAGGGTGAGCAGGGAACCTGCCCCAGGTGCCTTTTAGAGGGGGCCTAGATTATCAATGGTATTTGACATTTGAATTGTTGTTGTTAATTGCCTAAAGGCCAATAAAGTGGAAGCCCCTATACCCCTATGGAATGACACTCCTTGCCTAAACTAATGCCTCATACACATAATCAAATGATCTGGGAGAGTTCTCCAGGGTTTGTTCTCCTGGTAGAAACAAGTTACCTGGAAACACAAGAACAGATATTTGAACACTGCGCCTCTGGCAAGCAGAGAGGTTGCAGTGCTGATGCTGCATAGCCAGAGGGCCCCTGTACAGCAGTGTAGGGATGGGGCCAGGCACTGGGACAAAGCAGAAGCAAAGATTTCAAGTTCATTAATTTTATTTGCCTCTCCACCTTCCAAGTCAGTGCCTGGGCTGGTTGCCCTATTACCACCACCACCCTCCCACCCCAGTTATGCCACTATCATTGTGTACACCTCTCAGCATGCTCTGCAGGCTCCTTCAGTCTGCCTGGCAACACACTGGCTGGCCCAGACTGCTCAAACTCAGCCTGTGTGGGGATTGGGGGGGAGGTGGGGCGTGCTCTGCTCCAAACTCAGCTGAAATAGTAGAGTCCTGCCTGAGTGCCACGTTGTCTCTGGGAGAGGGAGGAAGTAAAGCACCCTGGGATGTTGGAGGACTATACTGTGGCTTCTCTCAGAAGGGTAAGTTGAACAGAGACATTCGCTCTCCCAGGAGGACCTCTCCAGAAGTGATTTAACCCTGGTTGTTTCCGGGTTGTTTTTTTCTCCTCGAGTGGACATTTTTGCTCTGAGAGAGAAATCTTAAACATGTGCATACTCGTGGTTTTTCCTGGGACAGCAGCGTCTCTCCCAGGAGAAACTGAATGTCTGTACATGACCTAAGACAATGCACATGGCTGAACAAGATAAACAAGTGGGTCAGAATGGCAGTTGAGTTGGAAGTGAGTTTTGAACAGCTCACATTCAGAAAATGTGCCTTCAAAATGAATCTTACATTAGCAAGGCCAAGCCTGGTGCCAACAGCCATTGCAGTAATTTAGTAATAACTATTAAAATCATGGGCTTCTATGAATAGCAGGTGAGGTGTGTAGAAACTCTACCTTTTTGCTAAAAACACAGATCATTGGAATGATGCCATTAAATGTAACTCCTATTATTCACCTATCTATTCTACCCAAACACAGCTTTATATGAACCATCATGGATCCATTCTTCTCAGAGTATATATCTTATCCAAAAAAAAACCAGTTAAAAAGTATCAGGGAGCCCACCTCTTAGATATATCTTTTCGAGCACTCAAGACTCAGACGGGGTTAAATGTTTGGAACTCAAAAGAAGAGATGGATCTAAGTTCTAAGTAAGATGGCCTAAGGAGCATACCCAGGGCTAAACAAAAGAACTGGAACCAACACCACAGAGCACCTTCTATTGGTAATTATTTTAATGTGTAATAATAAGCAAATACACACACTGAACTGTTCTGGGGAGAACACTCTAAACTACCGAATAAAATATCAGAAAACTAACAACAATGTAAAGTAGCCAGCTTACATTTCCAGCAATTAGCTTTCGCCAAAATGTTCCATTTCAAAAATATTTTTCCTGTCAATATAAAATCAATTTGTCACTCCCACTAACAATACTTCCCCGTCTGTTTTTTCTCTTTGAAAACCTGTTACTGCAAGATACTGTTTTTTATTTTTAATATGCTTCCTAAGAGCAAGAATTTTCTGGCTACAAGCTTACTAGCAAATATATATAAACTTACACTGATACTGCAACACACCTAAAAATGCCCCATAAGCTTTAGAACACAGAAGCTGCTAAGGCAGGCATGCATTTAATAAGATGGTTTTAATGTTGTTCACTGTTCACGTCAACCCTCATCGAGACGGAATCCAAGCATGAGGACGTAGAAGAATTGTGGGTTAGGCTACATGGGGGGCAAGGAGAAAGGGAATTGGTGGTAGGGGTCTGCTACA